CACGCATGTGCCACTATCTCATTAGGAGCAATTTCTAGACATGAATTTGAAAATCAAGTGTGCTGTGCTGCCCTTGACCCCCATCCCTGCCTTTGGCTTACTGAGTCACGGACCCTCCCCTGGGTCCAGCTTCCTTCTGTTCCTCTGTGCTACAGGCTCCCAGTAAGTTTTGTGGCCAAACTCGGATGAGGAGTGACAGGTCTAGGGGAAATCGGGCACCTTTGGAGAGCCCCCGGACTTCTGAAGCCCCACTTGTAACTCAGGTCTCGCAGGCCAGATCCTCAGCAGTCCCAAGAAGGAGGGGATGTTCCGTCTGCCAGACAGAGGCTGTCTCTGGTTCTGAGTCACGAGAAAAAATGAGAAATCACAGAAAATTATGAAGAGGAGGCACCTCAGAGATGATTCATCCCAGACGTACGCCCTGCCCACCAACTGCCACCTCCCACCCAGCCCAGCTGACTCAATCATGTGCCCCATGAGGCCAGGATTTTTGTTTGTCTTGTGCCAATGCCAAGAACAGCATATGACACATAGTAGGGCTTCAATAAACATTGACTGGATGGATGGATGGATGGATGGATGATGGACGGACGGACGGACGGGTGGACGGATGGACGGGTGGGTGGATGGGTAGATGGGTGGGTGGACGGGTAGATGAGTGGGTGGACGGGTAGATGAGTGGACGGATGGGTGGATGGGTGAATGGGTGGATGGATGGATGAATGGGTGGGTGGATGGGTGGATGGGTGGCTGGGTGGGTGGATGGGTATGGGGGTGGATGGCTGGATGGGTATGTGGGTGGATGGGTGGATGGGTGGATGGGTGGGTGGATGGATGGATGTAACTGTGCAGCCCAGATGGATTCAAGGGCAGTTTCTGCCCCTTACTCACTCTGTTAAGACCCCTCCCTCTCCAGGTCTCAGTTACCCCATGTGTAAAACCAGGTCATTGAATTAGACCACCTCCAAACTCCTTCTAGCTCTCTTGCCCTCTAGCCAGCTGTGTCCAGGAATTCTGAGCTTTTGGGCAAACAGAAAGCATGTGGCTCTGCTACAATTCGATTCAAGTGCTGGACCTTTCCTATCTCCCCCGCCCCGGGGTTGGCAGGCTACTGGACTTCTTTCTAACTGTTTGGAGTGATGCTTGCACAAGTTCAGAGTGAGAATGAAGTCAGATAGCACAGGGCTTGAATCTGAACTTTGCCTCTTCCTGGTTGTGTGACCCTGGGCAAGTGACTTAACCTCTCTGAACTCAGTTTCCACATCTATAAAACAAGGATTGCAATATACTTTGTTGGGTTGTGGAAAGGATTAAATGAGATAATGTACAAGCACTTAGGGTGGCACCTGGTATGTAGTGAGCACTCCATAAATGGTAGTGGTGGTCATTTGGGGGCCTCCCAGACCCCATGTTTGGGGACTGCTGTGTGTTATCCCATAACCAAATATAGACCTCCACCTAGTGCACATGGAGGAATCAGAGCCCCATTTCGGGGAGAATGGCTGACCTCAGGCCAGAAAGAGCTTCAGAAGAGCCCTTAAAGGGGACTCCTTTCCATCTTCATCCTTCTTCCTACCCGAAACTCAGGCACAATGGCTGGAGATCAGGCAGCCACTTTGGACAATGAAGACACATTGAGGATAGAAGCAAAAAGTTAGAAGGAGCCTGGATCCCCGATTACCAGGCTTCTACGAGGGCAGTCCTGTATTACCTACCTCAGGCTTCTTTCTCGTAAGAGATAAACACTCCTCTAATTTATTTAAACCATTTTTATTTGGGTTTTCTGTTTCCTGTAAGCAAACCTTATCTTATCTGTCCCCATTTTGCAGATGACAAAAAACAAGGCTCAGAGGGGAGAAGTTCACACAACTAGCAAGTGCTGAGCCGGGATTTGAATCTAGGTCTCTACGGCTCCCCTACTGTTAATTCTATCGAACACTTTGCCACCCACAACAACAGGATCCCTCCCTCCCAGGCTACCTGCATACAAGCTGTTAGACATGACCAGGGCTGTAGGGCAGAGGGAAGGGAGGTATAATCACAGAAGGCTTCACAGAGGAGGTGGTGTTTGAGTTGTCTTAGAGCATGAGATATTAATAATAACTGAACCATTCGACCAGCCCTTCAGACCAAAAGGGAAGTCCCAGATGCCAGACTGGGGTCCCGGCAAGGTCCATCCATGGGGCCTGGCTACAGCCTGAGGGCATGGGTCAAGGGTCCCCAGACCATCCCCAGGTTCAGTGATTCACCAGGAGGGTTCACAGAACTCAGCACACAGTCGTACCTCCAGCTATATTACAGCAAAGGCTCCAGAGCAGATCAGCAAAGCTCCCAGAGGGGCGTCCGGAGGGGGCAGGTGCGAGCATCCAGGAGTCCTCTCCCTGTGGGGTCACACAGCAGGCACTTGATTCCTCCAGCAACGAATTGTGAAAACACAGGTGAAGTGTTGTCCACCAGGGATGCTCATTAGAGACTCAATGCCTGAGGGTTTTATTGGGGGCTAGTCACGCAGGCACCTCTGCCTGGCATATACCAAATTCCAGACCCCCAGAAGGACAGCAGGGCTTCCACACAAGCCACCTTGTTCACACAAATAGTGCAGGCCCGGTGAGCGGCTCTTATCAGGGCACAGCAGGAACCTTCCAGAAACCCAGGTTCCCAGACGCCAGCCCAGGGCCAGACTCGCAAGCAAGCGGGCCTTCTCATGGGCGGCGGTCTCAGCCCCGCTGTGTTCACGCTTTTCTGCACAGGGAATTACACCTTTCTTCCCGCTTCTCTCTTTGAAGTGACCCAGGAAATGGATTTGTGTGCCTCGGGCCCAGATTTGTTGAGGAAAATCTAGTTTACCACGGAGATCATTTCAATAAGTGTGCTAGAAAATAACCTTGAGTTATGTAAGAGCCGAGGGTGGGGGCAGGCTCAGAGTCCTGAGGCGCGAGACCGGCAGATGGGAGGCCCGGCTTCCGGGCCCGAGCTGGCCGCCAACTCAAGTTCCAACGTGGTCAAGCACATCCCGGAGATGAGCCTCAGTTTCTCTTCAATGAATGAAGGCACAGATTTCATCCCATCACTGAGCTTCTGCTGTGTGACAAACCAACCCAAACGGGGGGGGGGGGGGGGGGGGGGGGGGGGGGGGGCGGTGCTGAAAGGGCCGGCCGGTGGTGCAAGCGGTTAAGTGCGCGCGCTCCGCTGCGGCAGCCCAGGGTTCGCCGGTTCGGATCCCGGGTGCGCACCGACCGCACCGCTTGTCCAGCCATGCTGTGGCGGCATCCCATATAAAGTGGAGGAGGATGGGCACGGATGTTAGCCCAGCGCCAGTCTTCCTCAACAAAAAAGAGGAGGATTGGCAGATGTTAGCTCAGGGCCGATCTTCCTCACAAAAAAAAAAAAAAGTTCGTGGCTTCAAACGACAGATGATCATGATTCCTCACAGTTCTATGGGACAGCGGTTTGGGTTGGGCTCAGCTTAGTGGTTCTTCTTCTAATGTTGCCCGGCTCACTCACGAGGCCGCAGCCACAGCTGGCCTGTCTCCGTGTGGTCTCCCCTCCTCCAGCAGGCCAGCCCGGGCTGCGTCTCCTGGCAGCTGGGAGGGGTCCAAGGGCAAGAGTGGGAACCACAGGTTTCTTAAGGCCTACCCTCAGAAGTCATGTAAAGCCACTTCTGCCACGTTCTAGTGGTCAGAGAAAGACACAGCCCAGTCCAGATTCAAGGGGAGGAGAAACAGACTCCACCTCTCCATGGGAGGGGCGGCTGTGTCTCAGCGCAGAGGTGTGGCTGCAGGGAGGGTGGAAATTGTAGGCAACTTTCACATCAGCCACACCATCTCCCCTCTGTTCCTTTCATTCATTCATTCATTCCACACTTGAACACCCTCTATGGCCCCCCCGTTTACCAGACACGGGGACACAGAGGTGACCTTATCCTCATGGGGCCTCCAGACTGGTGGGGAAACAGATGAATAAACCAGTATGTGCTGCAAAGTAACAAGGAATGAGCATTTATTTTATAGGTATTTCATGACACTATACTTTTTTTTCCACAAAGGATTTGAATCAACCTGCCACAAAAGGCACAGGCAATAAAATTGTGAATTTTAACCAAACAAGAAAATTAAAACCCAAAGGGGAAAGAAGATAGCGTTCGTTGAACACCTACTATGTCCCAAACATCTTGCACATTATCTCCTTCCATCTTTTCTGTAGCCCTGAGGTAAGTATTATTATGCCCTTTTTATAGACAAGCAAACTGAGGCTTACTGCAGATAAATGACTTGCCCAAGTTCACATAAGTCCTAAGTAGCAGGGCTGAGAGCCACACAGCTGAGTCTGGCCCCAAAGTCCCTAGGCTATAAGAGAACAGCTGTAAAGGAGCTTCAGATTTGACTATGAGCTTCCTAGCAGCCTGGGGGAAAAGGGAAACTGAACATATTGTCCGATTAGTCACTAGACAGGAAAAAGCCAGACGTTTCATGAGGGGAAGCAAAGCCCTTCCTAGCACTGAGTCAATTTTTCTTTTCTCAAGGGAGAGTTGATGACAGAGAGCTTGTGGGGTGGAATCTATGGGCCCAGCCTGGACTGTCCAAGTTGAGTGACCCTTCAGCTTATATGTGGGGAGGTTGCTGAGTAAATGCCTGTTGTCCCCCAGAGAAGGTTCTGTGCTCCAGTGACCATCCTCCTCTGTGTGTGCACGTGTGTGTTTCCCCTCTGTCCCACTGTCATTCCCTTTCTATCCCCTGCCCCTCCTTCTGTTTGTCTCTTTTGCCTCTGTCTCTCCCTGCTCACACCCAAAATGCAGAGTCCCCACTACTGGAAACTCAGCCAGCTTTTAGGAAGTGCTGCTGTGTCAAGAGCCTGCGCACAGACCCACGCGACAGACAGGACTTCCTCCCCGCAGGGGCTGGGCGGGGCGAGCAGGAAGGGGCCTGTGTAGCCGAGGTGACGCATCCCTGCCTGGCCCCCCGAGCAGCAGCTGGGTCAGCGGGCAAGGGGACTGCAGGCCACCTTCCCAGGGGCTCCAGGATGGACTTGTGCCACCCAGGTAAGCACCTGGGGCCCGCCTCTCCAGGCCTCCATTTCCTCTTGTGTAGGATGGGGATGATAGTGGCTGTCCCACAGGGCCCTGGGCGGAATCGACGTAACACAGGTGGGAAATGCAGAAGCATGCAGCAATGCTCATGAGCTCGGGCTAGGAGCCATGCTGCGTTCCAGGTGCTGGGTGGATGGTGAACAGAGAAGGCACCGTCCCCGCCCTCACGAGCTTACTCTCCAGAGGGGAGACAGACCGTAAATATACTGTGTGTCATGTCAGCTGGTCACAGCAGGATGAGGAACAGTAAATTACAACAGGAGGATGGGAGAGGGGGGTCGAGGCCTCAAGAGGGGATACCACTTGAGCAGAAACCTGAAGGAGGGCAGGGCGTGATCTATGTGGGTTTCTGGGGAAAGACTATTCCAGGCAGAAGGAACAGCCAGTGCAAAGGCCCTGAGGAGGGCCTGAGAAAGGTTGCTTGTGTTGAAGATGACGATGTCGGTGACAATGATGTCTATCAGGTGGTACAAGGACCCTGAAGCCTCTGTTTGGCTTTTGAGGGGTGAGGGTGTCCTTTGGGGAGGCTGAGGACACCGCCTAGAGCCAGTGGAGGGGCCAGAAACGAGCATCAGAGGACCGTGGCTGAGACCTTCCCTGGGAAGCAGACCGATGGGTCTGGAGGGAAGAGGGAAGGAGGCTGCGCAGTTGGTACGGGAGAGAGGAGGGCGGCGTCGTTTCTGTGAGGCAGACAGAAGACGACGGGCCAGTCTCTGTGCCCTGTGTCTCAGAATGTTCTGGCATTGCCTGGAATTCTGGAAGACAAGGGCTGCCAGGAGCTGTCCAGTTCCCCAGGTCCAGATGACGTCGACCCTGTTAGCAACAGAGCCCTTTCTGCAAACAAAACCTACCGGGAACAGTCTGACCCCACCCACTCGGCCTCCCCTCGTCCCACGGGTTCTGGGGAACACAGTTAGAAAACCACCAATCCCTTTCAACAGCCCCATTGACAGGTGAACAAAGGAGGCCGGGAGAGGGAAGCCATCCAGGACCGTCCCCACCTCCTGACTCCCTGTCCAGTGCTCTCTCCCAACCCCCCACTTCTCCGGTGGGCTTTTGGGGGCAGGAGGCTCACAGACTGCACGGGCTCAGTGAACACGTCCTAGGTGACAGCTACAAGGCAAGAGACCCAGGGAGGAGCAGTGCCACCCTCGAGATGGAGGGTGAGATGAGACAGCGAGAAGTAACCCCCCGCACTGCTGGTCTTTCCACCGCTAGGACCTCGTTCTGTGGGGTCTTCACATGAGGAGGCCCTTAGGATCAGGGATCGTAGTCCCCAGGATGCAGATGAGCACACCGAGGCTCACAGAGGTGAGCTGGAGCAGTAAATGGCAGCGTAGGGACAAGCAGCTGAGAGGAGAGAGAGCCCCAGGTTAGCCCGGCAGTAGGAAAGCAGAGGGGAGGGGGTCCGGGGGAGCCAGAAGGCGAGTCTCTGCTTTGCTTAGGCTGGCCCTGGGGGAAATAGATTCAATGGGGTCAACACAGACAGTCCATTGGGAGATTTGAGGTCTCCACGGATTGGTTCTTCATTCATTCATTCGTTCGTTCATTCATTCTATAAACAGTCCTCTGGTGTGCAAGTCCTATGCTGTGCAATGCTGGGGACAGTGGTGACCCAGCCATGGGCCCAGCCCTGGGGGAGCTGCTAGTCCAGGATGTGAGGGAGGGGGAGACAGATTCTGCAGAACAATGACCCCGGGCAGGTGTGCTAATGGGCACAGACCTAGAGCGTGAGAGGAAGCGACTCTTTCCACCCAGGCAGGGGAGATCTGGGAAGACTTCCTGGAGGAGGCAGAGAGAGAGAAGGAAAGAGGGAAGGTCATTCCTCTGTTACCCAAACTGGGTCTTAATCAAGCTCCTCTCGGCCTGTGACATTCCCCTCTCTGAGCTCCTATTCGTCATCTGAGTGGGCACTGCCATTGAACCTGAGCTGGGGAAGTGGGGAAAGAATTGGGGGTTGGAGTCAGCCAGACCTGGCTCAGGTCCCAGCTCTGCACCAACGTGCGGTGGTCACGATGGGTCTCTTCTTTCTGTGGGCCTCAGTTTCTCCACCTGTACAACAGACGGGATGGTAGCAAAGGTCCCCCCAGGGCGGCCTCCCCTCGTCCAGCCGTGGGCGTGTGTGACATCCGGAAGCAGGTCCGGCCCCCTCCCCCTGGGCATGCAAGGAAAGCGAGAGGTCCAGGCAGCCAAGCCCCGACGGACGTGACCAGAGACAGCACGGGGCTGCTGCATGAAGATGAGCACAGTTAAAAATAGAGGCAGCTCAGCTGGGCGGAGGAAGCCGCACGAGGCGCCCGCAGGGCCTGGGGGGCGGGGCGGGGAGCGGCTCCACGGGACACCCCCCTGCCCCTCACACCCAGACTTCGAGGGACCTCCGCCCGCAGGGCTCCGGGATAGCGCCCTCATCCGGCCCTGGAAAGGGGAAGCACGGGCAGCTGCCCTGGAAGGGGGGCTGCAAGCAGAAAGACGTCTAAAAATACGATGGGAAAGAGGAAGGACAAAGGGGAAGTGGAGAGGAGCCGGGGAGATGGCGCGGCGGGCACACGGGGCAGAGGGCAGCGCGGCCCGCGGCGGGGGTGGGGTTGGTGATTCGAAGGTGGCCTCCCTGAGGTGTGAAAAGCACAGAGCCAAGCGGGAGTGAACAGAGCTCGTGGTGGTGGAGGTTATCATCATTTTATTATTTTTGTGTGTTTTACTATTATTATTATTATTAAAAATCCATCTCCAAGGGGCCGGCCCGGTGGCATAGCAAAGTGCGCGCGCTCCGCTTCGGTGGCCCGAGGTTCGTGGGTTCGGATCCCGGGCGTGCACGAACACACAGCTTGTCAGGCCATGCTGTGGCGGCGTCCCATATAAAGTGGAGGAAGATGGGCACGGATGTTAGCCCAAGGCCAGTCTTCCACGGCAAAAAAAAAAAAATCCACCTCCCATGGGCCACACCAGTGAAGTGCCACTCTCAGGCTGTGTCCTGGGTCCCCTCCCTGAACCTCAGTGTCCTCAGCTCTGAAATGGGGAGAAACCCCCACTTTTTAACAAATAGGTGAGAGGGCAGAGGGCCCTCGTTCCACCGCGGGCACCGTCACGGATGTGGCAGCCCAGAGCCGTCAGCCCTGCCCTGGGGGGGTTCAGATGCACTTGGCCATTTGCCAGGTGTTGGGGTCAGAACCCCGACAGAAGGGGACGGTGGACTGAGGGGCTTCATGAAGACTCTGTCCAACCACGAAAGGAGATGTAGGAAGAAAAAATGCAAACAGTCCCGTCACTGCCCCATCTGTCCCCTCTCCGGGGAAGGCTGTTCCATCCATACCTGTGCCTCAGTTTCCCCAGCTCTGTGCTGTGGGCTTTGTTGTGCTTCTTACCCAAACAGAGAAAGGGGCTCAGATGGCAGGCCTCCTTCTGCCTCTTCTCCATTCTCAGACATGTAGCCGTGGCCGGCACTTCTGTCAGAGCACCCAGGGTGAGCGTCTGGTGGGGTTTTGATGATTTGTGTGGAGACGTCTAGCTTCAGAAGATCAAAGTCAAGGTTGTAGTCTCGGAGTTCCAGATGGGCCTGGGTGTGAATGCCACTCTGCCACCTTCCAGCTGTGTCACCTTGGGCAGGTCACTTAGCCTCTCTGAGCCTCAGATGCCTCATCTACAGAATGAGATTAGCATTACCTTCCTTCCGGAGCTGTTGTCCGCATCAAATGAGATCGTGGACAGAAGAGACTGGGGCACACAGAGCCTGGCACATAGTAGGTACTTGGCCAGCAGGCCTGTCCCTATCCGGTGGCCTGGCTTGTGTACTGAGCCACACAGCTCCCAGAACTGCTGCAGGGAATGGGAGGGAGGCAAAGGAGAGGACGGTGCCCAGACGGAGCACAGGAGGGCACCTGAGAGGAGATCGACAAGATGAGGAGGAGCTACTGGGCAGAGAGGAGAAGGAAGGGCATTCCAGACACGGGAACAGCATGTGCAAAGGCCTGCGGAGGGAGAGAGCGTGTGGGAGTGCATGAAGGGCGGCCAGGAGGCCTCAAGCCTGGGGCAGGGGGCTGGCACCACGTGAGATGAGGATGGGGGCACACCAGCAGGACTGGTGGGCCCGGTAAGACTCGGGGTCTTCATCCCCAGGATACTGGGACGCCATGGGAGACCAGATTGGAGGGGCAGAGTGGAGGCAGGGAGACAGCGGACAGCCCTGCCGTCAATCCGGAGCGGAGCCAGTGGTCTGGGGGAGGTGGGGGCCCTGGAAACAGAAGGATGGACAGGGCTCGGTGATGGAGGAGAGACGAGGGGTGAGAGAGAGGTGCACGTCAAGGTGCCCCTTGGGGTTCTGACTGGGGTGTCTAGGGGGCCATTCCCAGGGCTCGGGAACTCAGGAAGGCAGCCAGCTTGAGGGGAAATTCTGGAAGTTCCATTCTGGTCGCAATGTCAAGCGAGATAGGGCCAGAACGCAGGGGAATAGAAGGGTTTGAAGCTCAGGAAGGGGCTGGAGCTGAGGACGTGAGTGCGATTCCTTGGCCCATGAGTGGAGAGGGCGCCAGGAGCTAAGAGACCTCAGAGGGAGAGGAGAAGTCGGCCTAGGACGGGCCACGGGAGCCCCGTGGCTCACCCCTGGCCTTCCACATTGTGGGTTATCCATAAACGCTGAGTCCCACCCTGGCTTCTCTCCCACAAGCAGCCCGCTGGGACGCCCGGAGCCTCCACTGGCAGGCGTGCCCCCGGGCCAGAAACAGGCCTGCAGGACACAGGAGCCACGAGCCCCAGCCAACAGGAAAACAACGGAAAGCAAACAAACAAAAAAGGCTGAGCGTTCACCCCAAAGCCAACTAAAGGTGATTGGGTTTTTCCACCAAGGAACTCAGCCTCCCTCCCACTCCTGACAGCAGATCCGGGTCCCAGCCTCTCGTGCTGCCTCCTTGCCATGTCCCTGCTCGTGTCTCCACGTGGATGGCCCCACACACCTTCCTTCCGTCCCTGCGTGTTGCCAATGGCCTGCAGAATCCGCCTCTCCTGGGGCAGAGACCTGGGTGTCGGCAAACCAGGGTTCTGATCCCAGCACTGCCACTTGCCAGCTGTGTGACCCTGGACAAGTCACTTCGCCTCTCTGAGCCTCAGAGTCTTAAGCTGAAAAAGACCCACTTTTAAGAGTTGTGAGGATTAAACGCCATAATTTATACAGAGCTGCTGGCATGGAGCAGGTGTTTTTGAGCTTAAAGTTTAGTGAGACTTGCTTTGCCCCTGGTATAAGTGCCAGCTCCCCCCACCTCCCCATCCCCCCCAGAAACCAGCATCTCCGGACCCGCAGAGCTCAGAGTTGCAGGGAGAGAGAGGAAAACTCCCAAGTGGGTCACTAGGAGGATGGTGCCCGGAGCCTCTCCCACTCCTTGTTCCCAGATCCGTGTGGATTACCTAGTGGGACAGAGCCCCATCTAACGGTGTGATTTGGGGTGCACAGTGCATCCTGGAGGGTGGGCCCCATCCAAGCAGGGTATCATCTCCAAGCTGACACCTCAGCGGCGCCTTCAGGAGGCTGCTCCCTTGCTCCATCAGGCCGGCATCTTCTGGTGGTGACATGTGCGAGAGGACCGGGGGTCCCACGGCCACATGCTCCTCCCACACCTCCCTTACTGAGAGGGAGCCTTGGTCTAATGCGACGTTATGCAGTGTTCTGTGTCTGGAAGCCCTTAGACAGTGGTGCTGCCGAGGCTCTGCGGGCAGAAAAGGAAACCACACATTCAGAGCATGTGTGGATTCCAGGCAAGATGAATCACTGGCCTTTGCAAAAGAGAAAGAGTCCAGTGTAATCAGTTCGCCCCCAAGTTGCTGGTTGGTCTTCTCCAGAAACAATGGTCTTCTCTGTTGCTGGCAGGTCAGACATTCGGAAGCGGCAGTAGCTTGGGGAACCTGGCGAGTGGGTCCATGTCTAGGGTCCATCCAGGCCCCGTGGCTGCTTCATTCATGCACCGTTGTGCCAGCACTGGGCTGGCCAGTCAAAGCCGGCTGATGTCAACTGGCCGAGTCATCCCGTCTGGCTGGTGGTCCAGCGCCCCTCCAGCCGTGGTGCTTGCTGGGGAATGTTAGTGTGCTTTACAAAAATCTTCACACTCTGTATGGGGCCACTCCCATGGGGCCATCGCTTGCCTCTTCCCCAGACCTCTCTGTTCCCAATCTTCCTTCTTTCCAGCCTCTGACCAGGAAGTCAAGCCATTCTCCACTGCCCACATGCAGGTATGCCCTTGCGTCGTGCCACTTCTCTTTCCACGTGAAATGGGTGACCAGGTGGCCTGCGCAAAGCTCTGCCCATTGGGAGGACTTCTTGCCGCTGTCATTGTGGGACACCTTCAAGCAGGGCTGTAGTCCAATAGCTGTCCAGTTTTCACTTATACCCAAACACTGAGCGGCCCATCCTGGAACCAAGTGTAGGCATTTTCCTCTTTTGTCAGAAGGTCACAAGGGACCCGCCCACGCAGACAGGGTGTGAGCTAAGGGACCTGGTGCATCAGCAATGCATGACATGGGGATCTGGGCCACCTGTCCATGTGGCACACTAGAGCCTTCTGCCTGTTCCTGGGTGAACCACTTACGAAGGATGCTGTTGGGCTCTCTTGACTTGATGACTGCTGGGTCAGACAGACCCATCTTGGCTGCGTGACCCAGGGGAATCAGTACCATATACACTTGCCACAGTGCTGCAGGACCCTTCCTTCTGGGACCCCAGCCTCTCCTTCAGCCAATAGGTTCTGGGTCTGAAAACTGTCTTAGGTCCAGAAACTAGGCAAAGGGTCTTGGCTTTTTATGCCAAGGGTTAGGAGGGGCATATCCTTGGGTGAGGCAGCTCCATTAGGCTGAAGTAATTTCCTGGGAAGGGACTCAGCTGTGAATCATCAGCCAACTATCCCTATCCCACCAGCAGCTGTGAGAATGGGTGCCCTGGTCCTGAAGGGGCGAGCTGGATGGCACAACACAGCTTCCATTATACACATGTTGGGCCCTTACTGTATGTCAGATACTTGCTGGGTGTTTGACAAAAATCAACTCTTTTAATCCTGATAACCACCCTCTAGGTAAGAATTATGGTCCATGTTTCACGGAAAAGGACATCATATTGTCCTTCAGATTTGGCCACTGTAACAAAAACTCAGAATAACAAGGTCTGAGACGTTCTCAAAACTTATTTCTCTCTCATTGAAAGTCCAAGTGGGTAGTGTTGAGGGGAATACGATGGCTCTTCTCCACACGGTTGCCCAGGGACCCAGGTTCCTTCTGGCTTGGCGCCCTGCCACCTCATTCCCAGCTCCCATCTCACAGTCCAAGACGGCTGCTCAGCCAGCAGGAGGGAGAGGAGGGAGGGGGAGCTTGATTTTCTCTCTGCTTTTTGGGAGAGATAACATCTGTCTTTGTAAAACCTTTAAGAAACATGACCAAGCACTTCCCAAAGCTAGGACCTGAGCGTCAGGGAGGGTTTGGAGAGGCAGACAGGAGAAGCCACACCAGGAGGGAGGAACCGCACAGGCAAAGTGAGGAAGTAAGACGGAGAGTTAGACAATTCTGGGGCAGTGAGGAGCTGGCAGGCTGGACTGGAGGCTTTTGTAGAGAAGGGTGGGGAAAGGCTGGCTGAGGGGCCGGGGAGACTGTGGAGGTCCCAGGACCAGGATGAGGACTTTTCCCTCTAAGTAATAGAGAGTCCAAGGAGAGTGTGGTGGAAGGAACAGGAAGCACAATGGCGAGGAGAGGCGGGCCCACTGACCCGGGCGTGGGAATCGTCACGGCACCTTGCATGGAATACCTGCACACACGTGTCTCCGGGTGAAGAGGAGAGAGCACAGGCTTTGTCATCAGCCCAACCCAAGGTCCCACCCTGGCTCAGCAACTCGTCCCTGTGGGACCCTGGCCAGGTCACCCACCTCTCTGAGCTTCAGTGTCCGGGGCAGAAACTGTAAAATATTCCCCCAAATCCAGCCTCTACATCTGACATAGCAAGGATATCAGGACCACCCTGCTACAGGCTCATTTCCCAGCCTCCCTTGCAGCTAGGTGAGGCCATGTGACTACTTCCAGCCAATGGGGTGTGAGGCAAAATGATGCGCCGCTTCCTGGTTGTGCAAATAAATAAGGGAATGAATGATCGACATGTGATCCAGTGAAGGAGGAAATTAAAGTTCCGGGGCAGGAAGGAGGCCTCCAGCAAGCATTTCACTGAGCACCTGCCAGGTGTCAGGCTCTTTCTAGGTGCTGGGGACGCAGCAGCGAGCGAAATAGCTCAAGTGCCTGCTTTCCAGGAGCAGAGAGAGTAAGGGGAGCGACAGAAATGATGAGCAAACAAGAGAATTTCAGGGAGTCTGGACCCAGAGGGAAGAAGGAACATAAAGCTGGGTAGGAGGGGAGGGTGGGGGAGGGACTGCTTTAGACAGAGTGGTCAAGGAAGGCCTCTCGGAGGAGGTGACCTCTGAGCTGAGCCCGAGTGAAGAGGGCAAGCGAGTCCTGGGGTTCTGGAGGGAAGAGGGCCCTGGGAGGTGACAGCCAGCCGGTGTGGCCGGAGCCGAGCGATGGAGGGGAGGGCGGACAATGCGCCACTGACCCCCGGTTCCTCCCTCCCCAGACCCCACGGAGCTGAGCAGCGGGGAGACCGAGGAGCTGCAGCGGATCAAATGGCACCGGAAGCAGCTGCTGGAGGACATCCAGGTGTGTGCACACTCACACTGACATACACATGCTCATGTCTGGACACGCTTACACACGTTCATGCTGAGAAACCACGCCCATCCATGAGCAAACACACGCGCACTTGCACACCTCCCACTCACTCCCGACCCCAGCTTGCTCAGAGAGCAGGGCCAATTCCAGCCCATCCCTGGCCTCAGCCCCAGCGCCCAGGAGTAAGGGGAGCAGCATTCCCAGGGGAGTCCCCACTCCCGGGCTCAGCCACCAGGACCCAGAGAGAGCCAGGAGAGCGGGGAGGGAAGGGGAGCAATGGATGAAGCACCTACTATGCGCCGGGTCCCACCTGCACTCTAGACACCTTATCGCGTGGCAGGTTCTGCTCCCACCTGCGTGGCCTCAGTAAGGTCTCGTCCCCACGCTGGGCCTCGGCTTCCCCCCAAAAATTTAGACCATCTGGTCAAGACAACACCAATATGTGCCCCGACTTGCCAATTCACCAGTTTCTCAGACGTTTGTTCATCTGATTCTCAGGACCCTTCAGAGACAGGCCCTGGTTCTGTTCCTGGAATGTGCTGTGCTCCGTCCTGCCCCTGGGCCTTTGCATGCGCAGTTCCCTCTGCCTGGGACTCTCCCAAGCTCTCCTCCTGGCTCCTCCTCACCATCATTTCATTCTCAGCTCAAACGCCGCCTCCTCCTAGAGGCTGCCGTGACCACCCTGCTACAGTTGCTGGGACCCCGTGCCCACTCCGACACACATACACCTGAGATTCCAGGGGAGGAGGAAGACACAAAGTCACTCACTCAGCAAGTAATTTACTGAGCACTCACCACATGCCAGGCTCTTTCTACACCATTACTCCAATAATTTGCTGTGTGGTCATTTCATTTGCCCCGTGACCACCGTGATCGCAACCCACTAGACTCTGAGCTCCGCATAAGTGGAGCCGGGTCTGTCCTGCCCACCACCATATCTGCAGCCCAGCAGTCGGACCACAGTAGGTGCTCAGTTAATACTTGCGAGTGAGCCCCCATTTTATTTGTGGGGAAGCCGCTCGGTGACTTGGCCAAGGTCGCGTGGACGGGAGCTGACTGGCTGGGCTCAGATGCAGGCTCCAGGCCCCATGCTGGCCCCATGTCCCAGGACAAGCCTCCACGACCACCCCCACTCCACAGACCTCAGGGGAGGAGAAAGGGCTGGGGTGTCTTTGGGGGCTCTGGCCAGGTGCTCATGCTGCCGCCCTGCAGGGGGACGCTGGATGAGCTGCCACCTCTTCCCGTCGGCCCAGTGATGGTTGTTGGCAGAGATGGGGGGGTCTCCTCTGCTCCTGGGTGCCTCCTGCAGGGTCAAGATGAAACAGGCTGCAGGGATTCGGGGAAAGCACAGGCTTGGAGTGACCCTGGGCGCGTCACGTCACCTCTCCGTGCCTCCGTGTCCTCTTTTGTAAATTCCACTGGAATTGCAAAGTCCCTGAGAGAAGGGTCTACACTGTCTTGTACCCTGTGTACCGGCAACAGCGGGCACGGAGCCAAGCGGAGTGACGGACTAAATGGACAGATGGAGGGAACTCAGGAAGGAGACGGGGCCTGACCATAGAGTGGGAGTTTGTGCCTCCAGCCTGAGGAGGCAGTATGGAGCCGTGGGGGGAGTTGGAGCAGGGGAAGGGCAGGTGTCGAGCTGTGCTTCAGAAAGATGGCAGCTGGTGGAGGAGGGCTTGCCGGTGGGCTTGGCTAGGGGGCAGGAGACTTTACAGCTGCAGAGGGGAGAGACGGGAAAGCCGGAAACAGAGTGGGGCAAGGGGGGAGACTTGGGGACTGGCTCCCCCAAGACAGGAGCTGGTGGAAGGAGGGGCGCGGACAGAGGCAATAAGTTTGGCTTGGGATCTTGAGGCTGTGAGACATCTGGGGAGGGACCTGTCAGGGGGAGGGCTCAGGACAGAGAGGTCAGGGAGTCACAGCCGGGGTGGGAGTGGTGGTGTGGAGGGGGAGGGTCGTGAAACTCTTTCTGCCCGGCCTCCACCCCTGACCCTCCCTCCCCGTTGTGCCTCTGCCCCCCACAGAAGCTGAAGGACGAGATCGCAGATGTGTTTGCCCAAATTGACTGCTTTGAGACGGCGGAGGAGAGGTGAGGGGCCTGGCCAGGAGACCCCAGGAAGCTGCGACAGTGGCTTCCCAAGGTTGTCACCCCATGAATGAGCAAGGGCCACACCGGGGCCCTGGTGGAGTCAGGAATTGGCCCCCGGAGGAGGAGGCAGCGGTGGCGAGACAGGAACAGGGCGGCCCAAGACTCCGTCCCGTGGTCTGCTCTGGTCCTTGCTGCCAGGCAGCCCCCTCTCTTGAGAGACAGCCCCATCCTCCCACCTGCTCCACCCGGAGTCTCTCATGACCCGGCCTGACCCAGCGCCTGATGAGTCACCGCCCAGGAGCATCCTGGGACGGGTGGGGAGAAGGAAGTTCAGCCCCGAGGACAAGGATGAGGAAGCCAAGGGCCTCACGGGGACAGGAGCCCACCCGTGACAAGGCCGAGGCTGGTCCCCCTCACCCCAACCAGAGGGTGTCATCCACCCCGCCCCTGCTGTGGGAAGACTCCACTGGCTCTGTGGCCTGGGGCTGGTCTCCTCCCCTCTCTGGGCCTCAGTTTCCCCACTTGTGCGATGAGAAGGTTGCTTCCTATATAATCCCCTAGGGCCCCAGGGCACTGACTCCCATATGCGGTGTCCCAGGAAACCCCCACACTGCCCCTGCCCCCCCTTAGCTCCTGGATGCCCCTGATCTCCACCTTTCCACCCCCACACGCCAGTGCACACAGGTGCTCACGTGCACACGTGCGTGGCCCTGCGTCTCCAGATTCTGTTTCGGCCCCAACAATAAGGACAACGTAGTATTTACAGAGCGCCTACCACCAGCCGTTTTCAGCACTTTAACCCCCAACGATGCTGGGAGGCAGGCGGTGTTGCCCCCATTTTATAGATGAGGAAACCGAGTCCCAGAGAGAGGAGGTGACTCGCCTTCAGTGCTCAGCCAGCGAGCAGTGGAGCGGGGTTCGCACCAGGCGTCCAGCTCCAGAGCCCGTGCCCTCACCCCCGCCGCCCCGCTGTCTTGCCCCCACTCCAAGCACAGGGCCCCTCTAAGTCTCCACCGGAGCAGCTCTGGGGTCCCGGGGCCACGGCTCCGGAGCTGGTTAAAGTGCTGGCGCTGGGCCCACGGGAAGAGTCTGCTGTGGTGGCTCTGGGAGGGGCCCCAACCCCCCATTGCTCATGCTCTCCCAGCTGAGTCCGACGCAGAGCCGGGGGACCCCACTTGGAGGCCCCTAGAGAGCATTGGCTCCAGCTGAGGGGGTCCTCAAGGTCCCTGAGGGTCCTTGCGGGTTGGAGGGGTGCCCTGGGGTCCTGGGCAGTCCAGGCTGACATCCTCGTGTCCGCAGCCGGCTGGCCCAGAAGGAGAAGGAGCTCTGCATCGGCCGCAAGAAGTTCAACATGGACCCCGTGAAGGTAGGCAGGCGTGGGGCTCGGGGCGTGCGGCGGGAGCTGCCTGCTGGGCACCTTCACAGTGTCCTCTTATTCCCCTCAGCTGACACGATTACCTTACAGGTGAGGAAACCGAGGCCCAGCAGGGCTGAGTGTCTTGTCCCGTGCCCCACGGCCTGTCACGGCTGGGGCTCTGTCACCCCACAGCACAGCAGCCCCGGGGCGTGAGGTGGGAGCCAGGGGGACGGGGCGGAGTCTATGATGTCCATAGACTTGGGGTCCTGGCTCTGGACCTCTTGTTGCCTCCTCTGTGAGCAGGGCCTTGAACAGGGGGGCCGTAGATTCTCCAGAAGTCTTCCAGCCACTCGGCTGAGGATCCGGTCCTGGGGCGCTGGCACAGAGCACTGGGGGCTCAGGGCTCAGCTATTGCTCTCCACCTCGCACCCCCAGCCCACCCCACTGGCCTCAGAGAACCCCAGCCCCCACCCCTCGCCCAGCTAGGCGGCAGCTGGCTCCCTTTCCTGCGGGAACAGAGACAGGAGGAAGCCACAAGCTGACACACGGAGACGGGGTCAGGGCAGCCGGCAGGGAGCGCCAAGCTGGGGTCCCTGGAAATGTACTGCTCTGGCTGAGAAGGCTGACTGTCATCCCTGTCACAGGCCCACAGTGTCACACACTCATCTCCTCCCACAGCAGCAGACCCGCGGGCCCCTGCCGCATCCACACGGACTGTGTGCACACACACACACACACACACAATCTCACACTTCTGCCAGAGCACCTGGGAGGGGCCACTGAGGGGTCCCCAGCACCCTCTGCTGTCACTCAGAGCCCACGACCGGCCCCTCCAGCAGCCTCTTCTCCAAAAGGCAGAGGGATAGGAGGGAACCATCACAGAAAACCAGAAGCCAGCCCCTCAGACTCCTCAGATTTGAGTGACAGACCCCGAGCGGCTGGGCTGCGGGGAGAGATGTTTGTATATCGCCAAATCAGCAAAGCAGGTCTCAACGCGGCGGGCGTGGCATGCCCCCGCTTTCATACAGAAAGGGAAGGAAAGTCACCGCCGTGGAAACTGTCGACCTCCTCTCCTTTTGATTTAGCTGTTTTTCCTAATTTTTATACAATGGACATAGATTACTTGTGAGAAAAAATAAAACGCTATTTTTAAATAGCGTGAATTTTAAGGGGACAAAAGGAATGGCTGAATCATTGAATCTTAAAATAATAAATTCATAGAATCATTGAGGCATATAATCAAAGAGTGTCAGACTGAAGGGGAGCCTGGGGAGCACCTGGCTTGAACCCGGTTCGTTGCAAGAACCCCCTCTCTCTTTGCTTGCCTCCGGTGATGGGGAACTCACCACCTTACAAAGGCGACTTCTATTGAGGAGGGACACAACTCCCAGAACAGGAGGTGCCAGTGTCGGAATGCCGGGCCCCAGCGCTCTGGCCCCGGGGGCTCCCTCCCTCCCTCCCTCCCCCCACCCGCTGCTGTGAGGGGGCCGCTCACGGGCTCCGTGTACCCCCTGCAGGGCATCCAGTACCTTACTGAGCACAAGCTGCTGGCCCCCGACGTCCAGGACATCGCCCAGTTCCTGTACAAGGGGGAGGGCCTCAACAAGACGGCCATCGGCACCTACCTGGGAGAGAGGTGAGGGGGCGGGGCCTGGAGAGGAGGGAATGAGGGTGTGCCGGTGTGCACAGGTGAGTGTGTGTGTGTGCTGGTAAGTGAGGGAGTGAACTACGTTAGGAAAGTCATGACTCCTGGGGCTTGAGGGGCTGATGATCACTCCCCTCCAGATTCCAAACCAAAGCCTGCCTGCCATCATTTATTCCACAAATAGACATTTTTTGGTGTTTACTGTGTGCCAGGCTCTGTTCTAAGGCCTGGATTTACACCAGTGAACCAGACAGACAAAAATCCTGACCCCAGGGAGGTACATTCTAGTAAGAAAGACAGACCCCAAAATATGTAGAATATGTTAGAAAATTATAAGTTTTTGGAATACAAATAAAGCAGGGAAGGGAGGTGAGACGTGCTGAGAACCATGGGTCAAGGGCTGTGACTTTAAACAGTGTAGACAGGAAGGGTCCCGTGGAGGAGGTGATGCTTGACTGAATCTTAAAGGAAGTGAGCCGTGTAGATATCTCGGGGGAGAGCATTCTGGCAGAGGGAACAGCATGTGCAAAGGCCCTGGGGCAGAAGCATGCTGAAGGAACAGCAGGCTGGTGATACTGGAAGGGAGTGAGGGAGGGAGGAAGCAGTAGGTGACAAGGTGGGGTCCATGGGAAGGTTCTGGGCAGAGGAGTGGTCTGAGAGGCCCCCTCTGGCTGCTGGGTCAGGGGTGGACTGTAACGGACAAGGGTGGAGCTGGGCTGGCGAGCCAGCAACCCTTCTCCCAGGCTCCCCAGAGGACCCATTCCTTCTGAGTGAGCAAGGGATGCAGGGGGCAAGCAGGGCAGCGCTTCCTGATTGAAGAGCTGGGAAGAGGAGGAAACGGGGTAGGTGTGGCCCTCTCCATTTCACAGACGAGGACACCGGGGCTGGGGAGGTCAAGTGGCTTGAGCGGGTCACCCAGGCAGGCAGAGAAGAGGAAGGATTTGACTCAGGGCAGGCTGCTCCAAAACCAGGGCTCCCCTCCTGGGTGAGAACAGGGCTGGGGGTCTGCTGGTGAGCGTGAGGACACGCGTGGGCACGTGGGTGTGTGTTGGGGGGGGTGTCAGGCAGATGCGCGCAGACCAGATGGTGGCTGGACCCGGAGGGAGGCCGTCTCTCCCCTCCTCTCCCTCCCCCAACCAGCTCCAGGAGGAGGGGCCGGCAGGTTCCAAGTGCCTCCCGCCCTCCCTCTGCCCCTCCCCAGGGACCCCATCAGCCTGCAGGTGCTCCAGGCCTTCGTGGACTGCCATGAGTTCGCCAACCTCAACCTGGTCCAGGCCCTCAGGTGAGCGGGCCAGGGGGCGGGCTGGGCCCTCGAGGGTGTCACAGCCGGGGCGGGGTGGGGGGCGGGGGGCATCGTAATCCACACGACCAACAGCACAAACAAAGCGTCAGAGCAAAGAGGAGGAAGCAAGGAGCCAAAGTTAACTACTGACAGGCCCCACCTCCTAGAGCCCGGGATGGGGGGATAAGGGGTGGGGACTGCCTGGAACAGCGCCGGGCTCATCACCTCCGCCCCTGCTGGGGTTCCTGCACGGCCATGCTGTTATAACGCTGTTTATCATTGTAATCATTGTTACTATTATTACTGCCATTCCCTTACTTTTTTACTTTTTGTTTTATATGTTTTATTGATACAGCTTAGCATGTATTGCGTTTATTATTACTCTTTATTTTCTAATTAGGATATTATCATTGCTACTTTTGTTTTTGCAACCACCGGAGGCATTACAGCATATGGGTTAGGAGCACAAACTCTGAGCCAGACTGCCCAGTTCGTATCCCAGCTCTGCCCTGCACCCCCTGTGTGACCTTGGGCAAATCACAGAAACCTCTCTGTGCCTCAGTTTCTTCATCTGTAAAATGGGGATAATAATAGTACCCCCCTCATAGGGTCGTGAGAACTAAATGAGACAGTGCTTGAATTACCCCATAGGAAGTGCTGCTGCTTAATGCCTGGAAAATTGGCTCCCAAGAGGGGGCATTTGATCTGGGCTTTGAAGGATGATTAGGAGTTTTCAAGGCAGAGAAGAAAGAAGCCACCACCATCCAGGCAGTGCAGCCTGCCCTTCAACTCCCATGCTCTTTAAGGGAGAGAGAGAGTCTCCAGGATTCACTTGTTCGTTCCTTTGTTCATTCACTCATCCACCAAGCATTTACGGAGCAGTTCCTGGGCGCCAGGCCTGTGCGAGACCCAGCAGGAGACATGAGAGGAGTAGGCACGGCCCTCGCCCTCAAGGAACTTAGTTTGAAGCCGGGGAAATCACTGGCTTCCAGAGCTGAAGCTGAGGTTCCCAGAAAGGGAGGCCCAGCCAGGGCAGGCACTCGCCAGGGTCCCCAGTCAGACCGCAGGGCCCTGTGGCCAGGCAGGGGAGCTGCAGACCCGGGGCGGGCAGAGGCCCCTCGTGGACTGAGCAGACAGGCCGAGTGGGGCTGGGACCCAGTGGGCAGAGGGGCGCACACCCAGCTCCCATACGCTGAAGGGAAAGGCATCTCTCAGGCGCCTCCTGCCTGCTCGGCACTAGTTCATACCCCACTTACCCCTCCCCGTGCTCCCAGACAACAGGCGCAGATCCGGGGTCCCCCTGCGAGCCCCTACCCTCCCCACTGCCCTCACCCTGTTCCTCCCCCAGGCAGTTCCTATGGAGCTTCCGGCTGCCGGGTGAGGCCCAGAAGATTGACCGGATGATGGAGACCTTTGCCACACGATACTGCCTCTGCAACCCTGGAGTCTTCCAGTCCACAGGTGACGGTGCAGGGCGGGGCCAGGGCCTCCGGGACCCCTTCAGCATTGCCAGGCGCAGATCTGACTCCCGGGGCACCACGGCCACCCCACCCCCTCGGGCTTCCCCCAAGCACTAGACCCTGGGAGCCCAGATCCCTTCACAAGCCCTTGCTGGGCCCCAGCTCCATGCCAGGTCCTCTGCTGGGTGCTTGTTGGGCCTCAGGGTGTGATCCTTGGGAGAGAAGGCAGGAAATGACGGCACAGGGTGCTAAGGCACCACCACCCCGTCTGAAGCAGGGATGGGGGAGTCAGCATGTCCAGGATGGCTTCCCAGAGGCAGTGGGGTCTGAATGGGGTTTTGAAGGATGAATAGGAGTTCTCCAGGAAGTCAAGGGGAGAAAGGGTCACACTCTTTGGCTGTGTGTCCAGGGACAAGTCCCACAGAGCACTGTCCCACCTTGTAGTTATATATAAATTGGAGGTGTGCTTGTTTATTCTCTGTCAGCTCCACAAGTCTAAACATCTCACAAAGGTGGGGACCAGATCAGATTTATTCACCCATGAACCCACAGCCCATAGCCTTTAGTAGGTCCTCAATGAAAATTCATAGGAAGGAAGGAATTTTAAAGCACCAGATTTGAATCACAGTGCAACTACTTCTTAATTTTGTAACCTTGGGCATGTAACTTAACCTCCTTGTGCCTCAGTTTCCCCATCTGTCAAATGGGGTGGTACAGTACCTGCCTCATAGGGTTGTCATGACAACAACGTTAGGCGCCACTGTGATCAGAGGTGGAATCGTCAATGTTCTAGAACATGAAGCTACTTCAAAGTTAAACCTCCTGATGTCACAGTTGGGGAAACTGAGGCTCAGAGAGGTCAGGTACTTTCCCAAGGTCAGAGAGCTGGAGACACAGCAGGACTTCCCCAGCTCTGGATCCTAAAACACCAGAAAAGCCCCTAGCTTTCACCTCCCTCCCGAGGCTTCGCGCAGCCTCGCTCCCGAGCTCCTTCGAGTCTGAACAATGGAGTGGGGGCTCGGCCGGCAAGAGCACCTCGTGGCCCGTGACTGAGCCTGCACGGTCTTGCCAACAATGAGTGTTCTCCGCGCCCCGAGGAGGCAGAGAACAGAGTGGGCAGGGGGCTGGCGGGGCTCTGCGGGAGACGCTGGAGCGGGAGCCGAGAGAGGAGGAGGGTTTGAGGGGTGAAAAGAGAAGGGGAGGACGCGCCTGGCGGGGGCCCAGCGGGAGCCGAGCGCCGGGTGGGAAGCCTCCGCAGGCTCGGGGACGTGAGCACTGACGTTTGTTTGGAGGAGGGGGGCCGGGAAGAGTGGAGGTGAGGCCAGGCCTCGAACGCCACACCAGGAGATCAGGGTGGACCTCTGGGGCCTTGAGACGATGATCCTTGGGCCCTAGAAGGGGTGCGGCAGAGGAGGGGAGGGTGACCAGGGCCAGGCCCGTGACCCGCTGTCCCACCCCGCAGACACCTGCTACGTCCTGTCCTTCTCTATCATCATGCTCAACACCAGCCTGCACAACCCCAACGTGCGGGACAGGCCGCCCTTCGAGCGCTTCGTGTCCATGAACCGCGGCATCAATGACGGCAGCGACCTGCCCGAGGAGCAGCTGCGGGTAAGGGGGCGCCGCCCAGCCCGGTCCCCAGGGGCCTGGAGGGGCCATCCTTAGGCGGACAGCCAACGAGGGGCTCCTCTGAGATAGACCACTCCAGGACGGGGCTCTGCTGAGATGGACCACCACAAGAGGCTGGTCCTGAGACGCGCCTTCCCAAGTGGCCCCCATCTTAAGAAGGATGTCCAGAGAGACACCACCCGGGAGTCCTCCCAGACTTCAACCTCTGGGGGACTCTGGGCGCCCACCACTCACCCCTTCCAGAAAGGATGCCTCACGCAGCCCAGGTCTATTTCTTGGAATCCCAGGTTCTTAGACTCCGTGTGTGAGAGCTGAGAATTCCCAGACTCTGTGCTCAGACCCCTCCCCCCTTCAGAGAGGACGAAACTGAGGTCGTCCCCAAGGCTTCCTGTCAGCTTGAGAGCCAAGTAGAGCCCAGGCCCACCCCTGCCACACTGCACATGCCCTGTGCCCAGCTGGGGACCCAGGACTGATCAACCACAGGCCCTGCCCAGACCAAGTGCAGGGTCTGGGGGGAGGATGATACACACATCAATCACAGCCACGCGTGATTCATGCCACGCTGACCATGGGAACATAGCTAAGGAAACACTACTATTACTTTCCTGGGGGCACAGGGAGAGTGCAATCTTGGAAGCCTCTGCAGAGGAGGTGACTTTTGAACTGGGCCTTGAAGGTTGAATAGGCGTTTTCCCAGAGGAGAAGTAAGGACAGGGCATTTCAGAAAGAGGAAGCAGCCAGAACCCAGGCCTGGCCCAGTTGGGAAAGGCGGGGGCATGGCTGGCTGGGGGGGGTGGGTGTGAATGGACAGTGACATGCACTAAGGTGGGGCCAGAATGTCCAGGGCTTCAAACGCCAGACTCGGGAGTTTGCCTGTTTTCTATGAGCAACACGGAACTAGGAGCAGTTTTGTAGACACAGGAGTGAGAGCTTCAGAGCCTGGCTCAGCAAAAACGAATTGACAGCTCGTTTCTAGCTCAGTGGAGCTTCAGTTCTCTCCCAGCCAGACCCGGCAGGAGGAGAGGGTGTGAACACCACCCTCCCAGCTCAGCACCCTGTGGAGTCGGAGGGAGCCCGGGTCTGGAATGATTCTGGAGCCCCTCGGTGTTTGAGAAGAGCCGTGCCCTTAGCCCACGACCCTCCCTTGTCCCCAGAAAGAAAGCTCATCCCAGGGAGGGGGCACGACATAGAACGAGAGCTTGAGTGGGTTAGAGCTCAGATAATCGTTAGCCTGTGGGTGACCTTGGCAATGACTCACCCTCCCCACGCCACCATTCTCTGGACCAGGAGCACGGGGATGATGATGCCTGCGTCACAGCCCTGCTCTGAGGAGCAATTTTTAAAAATGTAAAGGTCAAAGCTTATGCCAGGTACATAGTACGAGCTCTAAACGGCGGTTTATGTCACTATTCAGAGTAATTAATAACAATTTAAAAACCCCAGCACTGAGTAAAATGCCTGAAACGGAAAAGGCCTTTGAGAACTGGACCTTTGCGGGCACACCTTGTCTGGCAGGGAATGCGTTAATGCCGTGCCAGCACCCACCCCACCGGCTGGCCCAGGTGCCGCGTTATTGCTTCAGCCCCCGGGGAGCCCTCTTCAGCATCTCCCTCCTTGGGCACTTTTCCCAATTCCAGCCTTTTGTTAATAACAATGCACCGGATTTGTATAGAGCTTGTAACTTTCTTCTCATAGGGCTTTCGGGTCTATTATCTCAATTTAGCTTCAAACTGCCTGGGAGGTCTGCGAAGGGTTTATTATCCTCCTTGGCAGCCAAAAGAGGCAGGCACTCGAGAGAGCGAGCGAGCGGGGAAAAGAACAGAGCCTTGGAGCTACAGCCACATCCTGGCTCCCCCACCGGCTGGCTGTGTGGTATTAGATAAGTGGCTTGAGCCCTCCGAGCCCGAAGCTCACAGGATTAGTGTAGAAATGTAAGGTGTTTAGCAAATTGCCTGGTGTAATTGGAGTGGCTAATTAATCCAGAAGCTTCCCAGGGCACCATCAAAGGGAACACACAGGCCTGGTGCTTGCTGTTCAAGGGTTTCACGGGTAGCTGCTATGGAGGGGGGGGTCTTCTGGAATTCTCTCTGGGCCTCATCTTCCCCATACATAAAGCAAGGACTCGGCTTTAAGCACCTTCAGACATTCAAAGTTTGCCACTTTGTGGAAGGATTCTCCATAAAGCTCCTTCAGATTGGGCCCTGCCAAGAACACACAACGCTTTGAAGTGGCCTGATTCATGAAATTAAATTGACACAGATATTTACCTGGAGAGAGGCCACCCGAGGGCACACAGACCCCAAGGGTGTGAGGCTGGGACAGGCTTTGCGAGTTGCCCAGCAGAAGTCGGGGGACAGGTGGGTTGAGCGGGCTTGCCCTGGCCATCCTGATGGGGGGGGCAGGGCCTGAGATGCTCAGGACAAAGGTACAGGGTGTGGACCCAGAGGACAGGAGATCAAACCCCAGCTCTGCCCTTATGGCTGTGTGACCTTGAGTGGGAGCTCAGTTGTCTTGTCTTTGAAGTGGGCTGACAACACTGATCTCACCTTGCTCTCCTGAGAAAGACAAGTACCTGGCACCTGGCAGGTACCCGAGAGATGCTGAGAGGAACCGCTCACCTTGAGAGCTGCCTGCAGAGGGAGCTGGGGGGAAGAGGGGAAAAGGGAAGAGGCAAGAAGAGGGCTCTCCACCCTCCGGAGAAACTGAGGCCGGGCAGGGGAACGGTCTCCCAGTTCAGGCAGTCTTCTGCTGTGGGCAGCCCGGACCCCCAGGGTCCTCGTCCAGCGTTTCCGTCAGAACTGGCCGCACGCCGGGTGCTTTGTGTTCTCATTCAGTCCCCCAGACAGCCTTCCGCAGCAGGTGCCCCCCAGTTTACAGCGAAGGAAACCGAGCTCCAAGAGAGGGAGCTGGCCAGGGGTCTCGTCGTTTGTGAGGAGTGCAGATTCGAACTCACATCTGTCTGACTCCAGAGCCCTCCCCTCTGCAGAGACCAGAAGGGGCGATCTAGGGACGGAGAACTTGGCTGTGTTTCCCAGCTGTCAGTGGCTTCCCGGCTAGAGGAATCTCAACTCAAGTATCGGAAAACATCAGGGATCGATTTGGCTTCAGCTCTGTTGGCTTCAGGCTCAGCTAGATCCAGTGAGGTCAGGGCTCAGTCTCGTCTCTCCACGGCTCAGCAACCCCCTCCTCCGTGTCAGCCTCCCTTAAACAGCCCCTCCCCCAGCTGCGGCAGAGAGGGCCCGGGCAGCTCCAGACTGCTGTCTTGCTTAACAGTTTAAACTAAAGTCCCAGAATTAAGGCTTATTGGCTGGCTGGGGGCACCTGGCCCTCCCTGAGCCAGTCACTGGCCAGTGGGATGACGTGCTCTGATTAGCCACATGGGAGCCATTCACCCCCTCCTGGAGCCTGGGGTGAGGGGCAGTGGGTGTCAACCGCCCTGAGCAACCTGGATAGAAGTGGGGGGGAGGTCCCCAGAGGAAAACTGAGGGGTGGGGAGGGATGGATGCAAAGCCAGCAGAGCCACTGGAAGGTGGCCATTGTCTTTCTGATCACGTCCACCCAGCCAGGAGAAGATAGCCTGCAGGGCCCTGTGGTTTGCTGGTGGTACGTGCCAGGGTGTTTTCTTGGGGGGCAGGGAGGCTGGTGTTTATGAGATACAGGAAATGTGGGTGAATTGAGCTGTTTTCTTTGTGGGGGCAGAATGCACAGGCTGATGCGACACCCACAGAAGCTGCCAGGGCTCCCTGTGGGTGTGGTGCAGGCCGAGGGCCCCCTCTGCTCCCCTGCCCACCTCCTTGGGCCTTCCAAATATTTGTCTGTGTTGACAGCTTTGCTGCCAAAGGCCTTCCTGCCACAGGCCCTTGGTCAACTAGCCAGCGCCTCTTGGGAATTCCCAGAGCCAGGCGGGGCCCCGGGCGGGAGGGGCACAGGCTTCCCGGCTGCTCTGGGGGGTGCGGGGCTCCAAAGAGAGAAAGCGGTCCCTGCTCCTCCCCACGCCCCCCACCACAGCCAGGCTGAGCCCAGGGACTCTGGAGGCCCTCCATAGGCCCAGGAAAACCTGCTTCCGGCCTGTGCCACCCCAGCCCCTACCTGGCCCAACCCCTGAGCTCAGGTCAGAAAGGACCTTTAAAAACCAGCAAACTCCATTTCCAAAACTTCGGGGGAATCAAACAGTACTTGTGAAATTTTTCATTTAAGATCTCAAGGAAACCATCCGAACAGCAGTGCACACAAACACAACCAAAGGAAATGATTTAATTTTCTTAGAGATGGAGACCCAGCACTGTGTATGGTTATTAAAAGCAGAAATAGACAGTTTAGAATGTTTTTCCAAATACTTGGATATCTGGGCAGGTTGTTCACGGAACACAGTGCGCCATGGCAGAGGGTTCAGAACACGCAGGGTGATCCACCGCCAACATCCACAGCTCGCCCAGAGGGTGGTCTCCACCCTGGCTTGCATACCTCCAGCGACAAGGAACTCATTACCCTGCAAGGTTGCTCCACACGGGCAGCCAATCCCAATCCCCGGAAGCCCCTCTGTGTCCCCCACCTGGGGCACACCTGGAAGTCTCTGCTCCTGCACCTAAGCGGAGGAGGAGGCCCTGACCTTGGCTGCTGTGCCCCAGAGTGTGTATGTGTGTGTCTGTGTGTGTGTATATGTGCGTGTGCTCACACATACGTGCATGCACAGGTAAACATGCATGGGGTGTCCAGGTCCCAGCCGAGTGTGCTGTCTTCCACGCTGTCAGACACAGAGGTGACGGTCTCAGTTTCACTCATCTGACCCCTCAGTGCAGTGCCAGGTGGTCGGGGTGGGGGGCTGTCCTCCTCCCCCCTCATCACCTTCCTCTTGACGCAGGGAGGGGCTCTGACCCCCATGGAGTCCATTTACTCCCCCGGAGCCCTGGCCAGTCAGCGTTGCTCTCCATTTTTCGGATGAGGACACAGCAGCTCAGGGAGGTTGAGGGACATGCCCAGGGTCACACAGCCATTGAGTGACCGAGCTGGGATTTTAACCCAGACGGCCTGACACCAAAGCCTGCGCTCCTGTCCCGCGACGCGTTTTTGTGCCACTGGCTGGAATTCCAGTGGGGGTGGGGGTGGGAACCATCCTCCACTTGGTCAGCAAGCAGTTGCCAGCCTGCTTTAGGCCAGGCCTGGGGGAGGCCCGGGGGTTGTGACACCCAGGCCTGCCCTGGAGGAGCTCCCCATCTATCTGGGGGGGTCAGCCCCAGCAAGCAACCTGCTACCGAAATGCTGACAGTGCAGGGGCCGTGGGTGAGGCAGCCGGGCACCGTCTCCCTGAGGTGCTGCCCCCCGCTCGACCACCCTCCAGGACCACGGGGTGGTGGGCAGGGGCCATGACATGGGGGAGCACCAGCGGGCCTGGGGGAGCAAGGAGGGTGTCACCAAGAAGGCCAGGGAGCAACAGTGAGCTAACAGGTGGGGAAAGAGTTTGCCCAGAGGGACGGCGACCTGACCGGGGCCACACAACCCCGGACTAGGAGCGACGTCACAGCCAGGTCCTTCCCTCCCTTCTCTCCGGCAGAACCTCTTTGATAGCATCAAGAGCGAGCCCTTCTCCATCCCTGAGGACGACGGCAACGACCTCACGCACACCTTCTTCAACCCGGACCGCGAGGGCTGGCTGCTGAAGCTGGGTGAGCCACACACTCGTGCACACTTGGGCACACGGTTGACACACTCAGGCATGCACACTCAGGCACACGGCTGACACACGCACGCACGTTGACATGCAGCCTCGGGGGTGGAGTCACGATGGCCCTAGGTCTCCCGACCCCCAGTGCAACAGTCTGCCTGCCCCGTTCGTCCATTTGTCTGTCCTGGGAATGAAGGGCACAATGCGGGAGGGGAAGGACGAGCAGGAAGTGGGGGATGAGAGGCTGACAGACCCAGAGACAAACCCTTCGCCTGCAGTTCTGTCTCTCTTCCCAGAGGGCTTCTGAGGAAGCCAGGGATCAGCGAGGTTAGGGCACCTGCCTGAGGCACACAGCCAGTGGAAGGTTTTGGTGGGCAGCGGGTTGGGTGTCCCTGAGGCACGGGGGCGGGAGTGTGACAGGATGTGGCTCGGGGGAGCCTCCCCTCAGCATGACTATGGGTAGGGAGGCCAGGGACCTGCAGAGAGGAGCTGCAGTGGGTGCTGCAGTGGTGGGGGCGGCAGCTGCAGGATCTTGCAGGTTAACCGCCGGGCCCAGCCACCTGCCCCTGCCCCACACACTCCTGGATGCCTCCCCGGCAGGGGAAGCCCAGCAGAGACAGTAGCCTTCCGAGGCGGGTGAGGACAGACGCCTCGTGTTGGAGCAGGGCCTTGGCCTGGGGTACCCCTCCAAGCCCCCCATCTCTGCATGCCCACATCTCAGTCCATCCTTCCCCTACAGACCGCCCAGCCTCCTTTCCTGCCCAGCTGACTGTTCCCAGCCCCAGGGAGGCTCTAAGTCACAGATCCCAGCTCCTCCACCCAGCGCCAGTGCTCAGGCTCCTCAGCCTCAGTTTCCCCAGTTGTGAGATGGGAACAATAATCACCGGGAGGGTTAAATGTGCAGCAAAATGGCCAAGCGCTAGGGTCTGGAGCTAGGACACTGGGGTTTGAATCTCTGCTCTGCAGCAGGACCCTGGGTGGATGACTCAGCCTCTCTGTGCCTCAGTCTCCCCATCTGTAAATGGGGTTAATAATGGTCCCCTCCTTGTTGATGGTTATGGGGATACATAAGTGAATTTTTTTTCAAACCTCTAGAACATTGCCTGGCAAATGAAAGGTGACCTGCTTAGCACGTGCCAGGCCGGGAGGGAGCAGGGCAAGGGATGAACGAGGGGTGAGGGCAGTGGGAAAGAGCAGGGAACGGCCAGCCACTGTTCCCGGGGCCTGGTCGCGGAGGAGCCTCGAATGCCGGGTCAGGCAGCTCAGGGGAAGCCTGGGGTGAGGGGAGCCGCCGAGGTTTCTGAGTGAGGAAGGGATGGATCTGGGGGCTCCAGTGGGGGCCCAAGGACGAGGAGGACTGACTGACCACACTGTTGGCCTCACACAGGGGGCCGCGTGAAGACGTGGAAACGGCGCTGGTTCATCCTGACGGACAGCTGCCTCTACTACTTCGAGTTCACCACTGTGAGCCGCCCCGCCCCGCCCCGCCCCCACCCCCCCTCAACCCGGAGCCCCCAATCGTCTGTTCTCCCCCCCCCTCCGCCCTCCCACTAAGCAGTCTGCTAACAGATCGTTCAATCCACCCCCACACCCATTTTACAGACGGGGAAAACTGAGTTACAAAGAGGAGAAGGGGCTGGGCCAAGGTCCACAGCAGACCGGGGGCTTCCAGTCGGGGCTCCTAGTTCTCCACCGGGGCTCTGACACCCTGCTCCCCTCCCCCTCCAGGGCTGGGCAGAGTCAGGGAAGACGGATGCACCCCTCTTCCGGTTTGGGGAGCCCCACAAGTTCACTCCCTGCCCTCGGCCTCGAGGCTCGGTTTGCTGACCCTGCTCTTCCCTCCGTCCCTGCAGGACAAGGAGCCCCGGGGAATCATCCCCCTCGAGAACCTCTCGGTGGAGAAGGTGGACGACCCCAAGAAGCCGGTGGGTGTCGGGGAGGGGCCTGCGGCCGGGTGGCTGCAGGAATTTCCACAACAGCGTGGGAGGAGAGGGCAGCCGGCTGGGCTCTCCAGGGGCTCGGCCCTGCCCATCACACCATCTAGGGGCTCAGGGCTGCCTCGGTCTCCCTCCCGGGGCCGAGGACACTGGGGGCAGGTCAATAGCACCAAAAGGGCACGGCCTCATTGTCGCTCACACTGGCTGGGTGACCCTGAGTGAGTCTCTGCCCCTCTCTGAGCCCCGTCTTCCCCATCTGTCTGGGGACGTCCATGAGAACGGGGACTTAGGGCGAGCCCAGTATGCAGCAATTTCTCTCTATCGTGAGCTCCTGCCCCTTGCCTCTCACAGGAAGCAGGCCCGGGTGGGGTGTGTCCTGCTGCTTGTCCCAGCCCGGTCCTGCCCAAGGGTCTCGGCCTCTCTGAGCCTCCCGGAGGGCCCAGGCCAGCTGCCCTCCCCTCGCTCCCCTGCCCTGCCCTCACCCGGCCACCCCCCACAGTTCTGCCTGGAGCTCTACAACCCCAGCTGCCGGGGCCAGAAGATCAAGGCATGCAAGACGGACGGCGACGGCAAGGTGGTGGAGGGCAAGCACCAGTCGTACCGGATCTCGGCCGCCAGCGCAGAGGAGCGGGACCAGTGGATCCAGGCCATACGGTGAGGGGTGCCTCGCGGTGGGCGTGGGCCTCCTGTCACCTTCCAGAGCTCCCTGCTTCTCTCGGGGCCTGCTTCCTTGTCTGTAAGGGGCTGACTCCAGAATCTCCCTCTCGGTGCCGGGGTGCAAATCCCTTCCCCCCATCCTCCGTGAGCCCCCCTCGGTGCCGGCACAGTGCCAGGCCCGGGACACAGGGGAGTGAGGCCCCACCTTCACGGGGCTGGTGGGAGGACCACGCGGGATGTCGCAGGTAGAGCTCTTTGGCACTTGGGAAGTGCTCCTGAACGCGCTCTGGTTAGCATCTGGATCCGCAGTGGCCTGGAAAGACCTGGTGGAGGCGGAGGGCAGGGCTTTCCAGGTGGAAGGCCCAGTGCGGGCAGAGTCAGTGTGTGGCCTACCTGGACAGCACCCCGGAGTCCTGGGTGGGGCTGGGCAGTGCCAGGCTGTGCAGGGACCAGGCAGTGTGGGGGCTGAGCAGGGGGAGATGAGGCTGCAGAGGATAGCAAGGCTTTGGTTGCCATGGGAACGAGCTTTTGTTTCTCCTGGAGGTACTGGGGAGCCACAGACAGGTAAACAGAGAAGAGGTACGGCCAGGTGAGAAAGGCCACGGTGTTGGGGCTGGTTTTGAGGGGCCAAGAAGGGCAGCAGAGGAACAGGTGGAGGGCAGCCAGGGTAGGGGCAGAATGACAACCTGGACTCTGAGTCAACGAGGAGACATGGGCAAGGGCGGGCTCTGTCGGCCACAGGAAGACACAGGAGTGGTCACTGGGCTGGGGGCTTGTCCCGGGGACTTGCGGGGTCTTTTCCCCAGGCCTTGCAGCAGCCCTGGGAGGCTGCCTGGCGAAACCCATTCTCACCTCCACTTTACAGAGGAGGACCTGAGGCCCAGAGAGGGGAGGGACTTGCCCAGGGCCACACAGCCAGGGAGAGGCAGAGCTGGGGCCTGCAAGCAGGTCTGCTGGCTCCACGTGGGCTCTTTCCACCTCCTTCTGAGAGTCTGATGGGAGCCTGCAGAGGGGTCCAGAGACATGGGGGAGCCGAGTTCCCAAGGCTCTCAGCTGTCAGTCTCACCCTCTCTGGCCCTGCCCTTGGGACTCGGGGTTAGGCCAGTGAGGCTGGACTCACCCTGGCTTGGTCCTTGTTGGGGTCATCCAGCCTTTCCCCTGCAGGGGGGCAGGCCGACCCCCCCAGAGACCCACGCCCCTGTTACAAGGCCTGGGAGACGAGACCCCTTGCTGGCCAGCTCATCCCCAACACCTTTCCACCTGCTCTCCTTGCAGAGCCAGCATCACCCGTGTCCCCTTCTACGACCTGGTCTCTGCTCGGAAGAAGAAGATTGCCAGCAAGCACTGAGCTTCCTGGGAGGTGGTGCTGGGGGCCAGCGTCCTGGGAACACCATGACCTGTGGGACCTGGAGACCCACCTCCCCCCACAGGGCACCTTTCCTGGCCCGCAGACATCCTCCCCGCCCCCGTACTTCGAGCTGACAGGAGAGGGGAGGCAGGGCTCAGGAGGGAGGCAGAACCACCGAGGGCTCAGAGCCCGCAGTGAGGCCCCTGGCCCTCGGCACCCAGCCGCTGCCAGGAAAGGCCCGGCCCCGCCCCAAGTCCGCCGCAGTAAGGGGTGAGGCAACCAGGCGAAGGGAAACCAGCCCCAGAACTGGCACCCTGTCCTCTGTCTGGGCCTCAGTTTCCTCTTCTGGTAAATGCCTCCTTGCACTCTCAGATGCTGGCCGCCTGCAGAGTAGGAGGGGCCGCGTGGTTCCTTCCTGCCTTCGGCGATGGCCACGCCTCCTCCTTCTGCTCAGGGGGTTTCTAGGCCAGCCCCTCCTTGGCCTCAGCTGGGGGTTGGCCCTCCCCGCCCAAGGGACACACACGGACAGGACCGCTGGGAGACTCCAGGAGCACTGGACTAGGAGCCCAGACCCCGCAGTCTCCGTCCCAGCTCCGTCTCCAACTTGCTGTGTGCCCTCTGCCAAGTCACACTTGTCTCTGGTTTGGATAGAAATGCCTCCCCCCACCCACCCCCCGGGCTCTGTGGCCCCTGCCCCCACCAACAGCAGTAGGCACAGCCCTAAGTGCAGGTCCCGGCCCGGCAGTGCGAGAGCTGGCTGCCTCCCTCCTCTGGGACTGCTTCCTCCAGGTAGGACAGGGTTGCACTGGGTCTCCCTGAGGAGCTTCTGGCTGGAAATGTCTGCACTTACTGAGCTGGAGGGGGTCTGGACCGAAGGCTGCTGGGGAGCCGAGAGCAGAGTGGGCTCCATCCTCAAGGATATTCATTTTGGAGGAGGGCCAGGTGGGACTCCTCAAGAAAATGGCAGAGAGCATCCCGGATAGACATACTCAAGCAGGACTGTGGTCCAACCAAGAAGCCAAGAAGAGTGCTTTATGAGCTGTGGTGACCAGGAGGGCTGCCTGGAGGCAGTGGCCACGCCAATGAGTGACGTGGCAGAGTCTCAGCCACAACAGACCTGCTAGCCCAGTGGCCAGGGGACCCCTGGTGGTGAGGGGCGGCCCCAGCGTGGTCCCAGCATCCTGAGACCCTCTGCAGCAGCACCGTCAAGAGTGGAGCTGACTTCCCAGCTCACAGGCAGGCAGCTCTGTCTCCAGGGAGGCCCCACCTGGAGGAGGATTCCGCCAACAGGCGTCTTCTCAGAAGCACTCCTCGCCCCCTCGCACAGGCCCTGGGGGAGCCTCGGAGGGAAGTTCCCCGGCAGGAAGACAGGATATGGGGTTACCTTTGCCCCACTGCCAGCCTGAGTGGGCGAGCCGGGGCAAGGTGGATTCCCCAGGGGCAGAGAGGCAACCTCTGCTCCCCTCCACCCCCAGACGCACGTGCACACCTCCCACGGAGTCAGGAGAGAGCAGCTGCCTTGCGTGTGAGTGGTGAGAGCCCCGTCTCTGGAGGTGCGCGCGTGCCCAGTGATGAGACGGCACTGAAGAGGGTCTGAGATGGGCGTCTGCAGGAGGCCTTGCAGGCCGTTTGAGGACTTCCACAGGCCCCGTGTCAGCCTGGGAGCCGAATGCCACCTCTCCCGTCTCATGTGGCCCCTGAAGGGGCAGCCGGGGGTCACGGAAGGAGCACTGGGCTGGGGGTCACGGGGTCCAAGGTCGTCTCCTGCACTGGCATACGCTGGCTGTGTGACCTTAGCGCACTCTCTTCCCCGCTCTGGCCCTCAGCTTCCTCCCCCATCAAGGGGGGCAACCAGTGATTCTCTGGGCAGGAGTGGGTATTCTGGGAATCCTTCAGAAGAGAGACTAAAGCTCGGAATTCACCTCGTGCGTGGGGCTCTGTCCTCTCGGCGACCTCACCCGCAGTCCTTGACCCCACCCTCGCCCCTCACCTTCAGCCCTTTCCCAGCTGAGGGCAGGAGGGCAGACAGGGAAGAGCGGGCACCCAGAGGCCCTGGACCTTCATCCTCAGGGCGCTGGGGCTGCCACACTGGACAGACGTCCCCAGGGGCTGGATGTGTGACAGGGGTCCCTCAGAGCAGGAGCAGGGGTGAGCTGGTTCTGCCAAGAGCAGGGGAAGACCAAAGAACTTCCCAATAGGTGGCGCTGTCAAGAGAGAAAGAGCTGCTGCCTGGGGAGGGAGGTAATCAGCTCCCCGTCTGTGGAGGGATACAAGCATGTGCTGGCTCCAACCATCACTTGGGGTGTTTCAGAGGGGCTTGCATTCGGTAACCTTCGTTTATTTGCGCTTCTCACGATGTTTATTAAGTACCTACGGTGTTCCAGACACTGTTCCAGGCACTGGTGGGACAAGACAGAATCCCTGCCTGCACGGGGCTTACATCCTGGTGGCCCTAAATTCCAGGCCTCTAGGCAGCCCCCTCTGGATGTGCAGAGCACTGAGGGGACCCCCACACCCTAACCGAGCCCCCTGCCTTAAATTCCACCATGGAGTCGCTCCTTGAAGACCTTAAGGCGCTGAGCTGATCCACTTCCCCGTACATTCTTTCCTTCAGCCCACACTTATTGAGCACCTACTGTATACCAGCTCCTTGCACAGAACCGGTGATCCAAAGATGTTCAGGACAAGCCCTCCCGCTCTAAGGGAGCTCCGGTCTGGTGGGGCAGGCACGTGCCGACAAGCAGTGACAGCCCGGGCCGACCCGCGATGCTATAGAGGGGGTCACGGGGCCAGTGGAGGGCTGGGCTGGCAGAGGGGCAATCTCGGAGGTTTCTCAGGGGAGCTGTGCTTGGGTGTTGGCAGCCAGCTGGGGGGAAGGCCACCACCTTGACACTGCATGAGCTTGCCTCGTGTCTGCTCCCCCCACCACACACACACACTAGGGACTCCTTGCAAGCCGGACTGTCATGGCCGTGCCTGGCACACAGTAGGTGCGCAGTGACTCTTGGTTAGACTGAAGTCCGCTGCAAAGCTCCTCTGGCCTCAGCATCAGCAGGTGCAAATGCCTGGAGGTAGAGGGGACCGTGAGAATGTGGGTGATGCTAGGGGGTGGGGGGGTGACCAAAGAGGTGGGCGGGGTCCAGAATACTCAGGGTGGGCGGTGGGCTCTGACTTGCTGGCCCCGGCCCCCTGCCCTTTCCCGGAGAGGCCTCTGCCCAGCATCCCACCATTCCGCCACTCCTCGCTCCGGGCGGCAGGGGGCTCCCACCACACGTGGATGAGAGGCTCGACGATGCAGCCAGAATGGAGACCCGACTGGCTGCCCCTGGCAGGGAGGAGGCCTCTGCCCAGAGTAGAGCCTGGGCCTGGGCATCCTGGAGGGGGAGGCACCTGGTCGACTAGGACCTGCGGGCTCGAGGAGCCCAACAGACACCCACGGGCACAGATGAGCACGGGCCTCCCCTCTCCCCTCACGTGGGCTCAGTCGCTCCTGCTCAGTCTCGGAGTCAAATACCCCAGCTCTCTCACTTTCTGGCTGTGGGACCCTGAACTAGTAGCTCACTCTCCTAGACGTGATCTTCCTCCCTGAAGGTTGGGCCAGGTGAGTTCCATGACCAAACCTTTAAAGGGGACTTCCCTGTGCAAGGAGGTCTCGGACATGGGTACAACGCAGCCCCTGCCCGGGGATGAACTGAGACTGTTGTGTGCAGCCAGAGTGGGCGGCAAATGAGGTGCTGCAAAAGCCACTTACTGCAAAAGGCCACAGGGGGCAGTGGTGAGATGGCCTGGGTTCAAGGCCCAACTCTACCCTGTGTCTTAAGCTATTTTCCTATGCTCTCTGAGCCTCAGATTTCCCATCTATAAAATGGGAATAATTAAATATATGCAAAATACTTAGAACAGTGTTGGGCGCCTACTCAGGGTTATGTTAACTGCTATTATTATTATTACAAGGCAAACTGTGTACTTGCTTTCGTGGACATACAAAACAGACTGGGCCATTGGAGGAGGAAAGATTCATGGCGGGGGTGGGAGGGTGATGGTGGTGAAGATCTGGGACGGCTTCTCGGACGAGGTGCCCAGGAAACATAACCTAAATGGAGGCCTGGCTCTTCCAGCCAGTGGGGCCAGGAGGAGCCAAGACAAAGATGCATGACAAGACGAGGTATTCCGGGGACTCCCTTGGGCCCCACACACAAGGTCCAGCAGGCGGAGAGGATGCAGGGTTGAGGGAGTCTGGGCCCCGGCAGGGGCTGAGCTGCGTGCACGATGCTGTAATCCCTCGCGTCTCCGAGGCCACTGTGCCCCTGTTGTGAAGCTCTGACTGGGATCCAGTAACACGGCTGCTGAACAGAGGCCATCACAGAACAAAGGAGGAGAGGCTTGGCACAGGACGCCCTGGGGTGGAGTAGGAGAGGGCAGGGGGGCTCTGAGAAGGCAAAGGGACCCCTGCCCCGTGCCTGGGCAGTGGGAGCACTTCTAGCCTGGTAAGCCAGAGCTGGCACTGGGGCTCTGCACCCAGATGCCAGGGGGCGGGGGGGGGCGGGCAGCCAGGAGTGGAGCAGCAGGTGTGAGAGACCTGGAGAAATTGATTTATTAGGGACGACAAAAGGAGCTAAATATGTTTGCTGGCTCAGCGATGACTCAGGCGTTCCCCAGGGGTCCACCAAGTGTGAGCATCAGAGAATCACACAGGCCTGCTCCCACCCAGGCTCTGCCAGCCTCGAGCCCCTCCTTCCCCTCGATGGAAGGACCACCTCAGTGTCCTGAGAGTCTGGCCTCCGAAGGGCAGCAGAGACCCAGCCACACCAGCCTGCGTGCCCTCTGACCCTGTCAGAACTCCCCGAATGGCTGAAGAGTAAAGCCTTGGAACGAAACGCATCTGGGCCCCAAGTCCTGGCCTTGCCCCAAACTGCTGTGTGATCTCGGACAAGTGGCTGACCCTCTCTGGACCCATATTCACCAGGGAGGATGGATCCCCACCAAGACAGGGCCCTTTCTCCCCCTCCCTGTCTGGCAGTGTCATTCCCACCCCATTCCGCTTCTTCTAGACAGCTGTGAGCACAGCCTCCTCTGCCTAAAATCCAACAACTTTCCTCCAGGAGAAAAGCCAGATTCCACAGGGGCTCATTGGGGGAAAACACGCTCTTCTGGTACCGGGGTCCAGGCCGGCGGCGCTGGGCTCTGGAGAAACAGGGATGAATCAGAGTCTGAGGTGGGAGGCA